TCTAAACACTTCTGATGTAAAAGAAATGAAATTCTTTTGGAGAAGAAATAGAGTCTCTATAGTGCATTGAATTTTATGACCGCATTTTTGTTCGCTCTAAAATGACTTTTTCTGGTTTTAAGAGGGATGAAAAATATATATATATTGAATTGTTTGTAGCTTCATCACCCAGCATCCAAAGTCACCGTTTCACTGAGGCTGAACTCGATAAAACTGGAAACTCAATAACTGAGGCTCAAAAATAATAACGYTCCTTAACAATGAAGGCTTAAAATGATGAAAATGTGTAGAAAAGTCAGGACAATTATTTTATGTACGTGGTAAACATCCAATAGAGATTTTAAAACTGCAGCCTCCTCCAGAGTATAACAGATGTTTTGAAGTTGTTTTTGCTCTTTGCCACATGTCCATGGTCTGAATGCCTAAGATCTTTATAACAAATAGGTCGTTTTAAAGGCAGGGATGCAGCTGAGTCAGTCAGAAACTCCTCGTTTCTGCTCTTAACGAACACAGAGCTGCCTGGGAGCAAAAACAGCCCTTTTTCATTTCTCAGCTTTTATCGTCTACAGCCCCAACGGATATCTGCTTCTAATTTCTACATGAAGTGGTTTCATAGATGGTTACATGCTCCAAGAGTCTTCTTTTCAACACCATCCTTGTAACGCTCTCATTACCTGACTCTTTGTCACAGGATAGTGCCCTGCCAGATGACAGAAAAACAGAGGGGCTGTGAAAACCATATCATCATCATCAGCAGCAGCCACTGGTTCTAATCCTAACCTGCATGTGAAAGCTTTTACATAGGAGCATCTCCTGCAGTTAGACTCCACACTTCCCAATTTAGAAACGAGAACACTCCCAGATGGGAATATGTCTTCAGCAACAGAAGAGAAGTCCACTTGTGTTGTGCTGTTCTGTTGAAAAAGATAGGATTGTTCAAGGATTTTATTAAATGTTGTGAATAAATGTGTGAGTGYATCATATTTCCTAATAGTTTTTCTTGGGGGTGGGGTTTGTGATGTTAGCAAAATACCTCATTAACTGAAATTTATTGAAACTCTAAGGGCGTAATCCTTGAAAGTAAATCTTCAACATAACATTTGGAGTCAATCCACTTCAAGATGTTCACCACACCTTAATGAGACCCAAGCAAACTCAAAAATGGCTTTAACTTAGTTACGATTACAGATACTGAGGTAACCTTGGTGTGATAGTAGCTTACATACCTATAGGCCTATGGTGATAAGCAATGAATCAATTAATCGCATGATAAATTAAAATGAGTTTGATAATTTTCATTTACCTGTTTGTTTTCTTCACATCTCCCTCTTTTCTACTCCTCAGCACAGAGAGGAGTGAACTCTGGCGTCAGGTGTTTGTCACCTGCCCTGTGAACGGGCATTTAGCTAGAGGAGCATCTTTTCTGACGTCTTCTTTTAACTGGCAATGCCTCTGGACACCGTGCCGAATCTTTTACTTTTTATGCTACGTAAATTTCATAAACTTCCGTAAATTTTGCAAGCAGCGTGCAGCTGACCAACTCAGATAAAGGTGGTGTGTAGTGACGTTACAGCTTCAGCTGAACTCTTCCAGGTCAGTTCATAACTTTAACAAACTTATGAAAGTTTATGAAATTTAGCGKKTTTTTTTTTGGGGGGGGGAGGTATATTAGTTTAAAATGGTCACTAAAAATTGTTATCGTTTATCACAAACATTTCTCARACAGTTTATCGTCCAGCACAGTTTGTTATGGTGACAGGCTTATCCAACACATCCTCTTGAGCACAYATTTCAAGAGAGGGCATGTAGTGTCATTTACAAGGTTTTGGCTATACTTCCATCCTTTGTTTGCTTCAGCTTGTGAGTGTATTGACATATTTGCRCAGAGTACATTCTGTTTTTGTAAAAAATAAAATAAAATAAAATAAAAAAGGTGCAAAGTGACCAGACAGATCCTTTTACACTGCAAAAAGTATCCACCTAACCAAGTTTTAAAATCTTACATCCAGCCAAAAAGACTTTTTGATCTTGTTTTGAGACTGATTTACTAAACAAGAACTGATTGTGTAAGAATAATAATCTTGTTTTCAGAATGTGTAAGATTATTTGTCTTGWTAGTCTGAAAATTTGACTCAAATTAAGTCAAAATTTCTGCCAGTGGAGTAAGAAAATTTTACTTGGTAAGATTCTTGAAGTAAGAAAAATTTGAGTCAAATCAAGTATTTCAAGAATCTTACACATTTTCTTACACAATCAGTTCTTGTTTAGTAAATCAGTCTCAAAACAAGATCAAAAAGTCTTTTTGGCTGGATATAAGACTTTAAAACTTGGTAAGATGGACAGTTTTTGCAGTGTAAACAGCAGCTTCTGTAAGCAGTGTAAGACTTGAGACACACACCTCTTGACCCTCTCTGAATCTCTTCAACTCTTTCCTGTTACTAACTCTCATTAACTAACCCTCCGTTATCCCATCTGTCTATCAACTCTATTCCCCTCTCACTTCTAAACACACCAGCTCCCTCCATTTCCACTGTAACTCAATATGTGGCCAATCAGCTAGAGGCTTCAGAGTTGTGCTCGCTGCAGATTTTACAGCTGTGGGGCCTCACTTAAAAGGCGGACATCTGCGGCACCTTCCAGTGTCCTGACTCTCCCGGGCCGGTGCACATAAACAGACCGAACATCTGTGCTGCTTGGTGGGAAGACTGTGGGAGTCCAGCACAGAACCAGAGAGTAAGTGAAGATAAGACAACTGAGGCAGATGGGGAGAAAAAAAAGGAGGAAAAGGATGAGAGAAGGTAACCTGACCTGAAGCACTAAAACATGTCAGTCAGTAATTCCTCTGCATGCCATTCATTTCAGAAGGATAAATTCATTTGTTACAAAGAGTAATGGTACTAAAACAACTGTTAATTTATAAATAAGCCTCTGTTGGGTTCTACGTTGTCTGAAACTGTTTCACTCCTTAACTGTCAAACACATCGAGAAATATTGTTAGATAAGACTTTATTATCTCTGAAGGAAATTCAGAAGTTTCCAACWGCTTCAAATCACACACATTCATCAGAAACAGAGATACAATAAAAACAAGTATAAAGAGATACAATGTGAGGAGGTAGTAAAAACAGATAAAGAGGAGATGTATGGATGCAGTTCGAGTGGACATGGAGGACAGAGGACACAGTGAGATGGAGGATGAGTCACTGATGAGGGAACAGCTGAAAGAAGTTGTTTAACAACTCTCTCCCTCTCTCAGGCRCTCACATTGTCCTCCCTTCATCTCAACCCTAAGGAGTTATGTAACCTGATGACCTGAGCAACACGAGGTTTCTTGAGTCTCAGTGGAGCTGATAGTCTAATGTAGCCCTCAGCCTGGATCTGAGGTCGTATTCACACCTGATAATCTACTTGGTTTGACTGGGGAACACTGTGCAACATTTGTTACAGTTTCAGCTGGTGTAGTTCACTTCACCACTGCACTGTGTCAAACTAACCAAACCCTGTGAACAACTGCTCACCTCCTCGCCTGTGGAGGCTCTGCACCAAGAACCACTGAAGGAATCAACAAGACAACCTTAGAAGACGACATGGAGCGCAGCTTCCTACTTCACAAAATGTAGACAAAAAGAGTGACATCAGATTTTAGTGGTTGTCTCTTTTGTCTTTGTGAAATACGTTAAACACTTCAACAATGAGCTCAGCGTGAGAAGAAGATGAGGCAGAACCATGGAGAATGTTTTTCTGTTATATTGTATAGAAGTGCTGCAGTCCGCTTCCTGCTTTTGGAGCAGTCTCCACTCTGCTTGACCTTCACAWATACAGTCAAACCACATCAGAGTTCACTTCAACTGAGCAGAGACCTAGGTTTTCAGGTGRACCAAAGTTCACTCRTTTGCTCCGCATCAGAGTTCGAWTTCTCGTTCACAYCTCCTCAAAGGAACCGGACTTTCAAGGCAAACAGATTGTGATTAAAGTGGATTAAACAAAACTCTGATTCCAAGTGATTGCCCACCTCTGAGCTCACCCTGCTGATAATCCTGTTTAATAGATTAGCACCCCTCACCCTCATGCTGCCGCCCCAACAGAGCACTGAGTTAAAGATGACAGTGTCGATCACTGCAGAACATCTGCAGAACTTATAGTTCCAACATCGTGCTGTTCAGGATGAACCTCTTTTTATATTCTGTTAGATGCATTCTTGTGTTCAGCACTGGATTAATATGGATTATACTTCTCACATTTACAGCTGAATTTRCAACAGTGGAATTTTAAATGATRAATGATAAAACCATCTTTWATCACAGACTCTCCCCCCTTAAAACAGGGTAGAAAAGACAGAAACTGTTGCTACGTTACTTTCATGTATTTGCTCAAAAAAGAAAAGTCTACGGAGGAGGGTGAAAAGGGGGTCAAGTTGGGACTCATCTTTCCTTTAAAGTGATTATCTGGACAGAGAGGCAGGGGATGGAAAAACAGTGGATGACTGATAGAAGGAAAAGTAGGATGTTCTGTCCCCCACTGAGGCCCTGCAGGCTCGGTAGCTGCAACAACCTGCCAAAAAATAACCTCATCTGGGGTTAAAGGCACCTGGCTATTCACACCAGAGCAAGCAAGATGACTTCCACAGCAGTCTGACCATGTATTACAAGTTTGGAGAGAACACAGGGGTCTCTGTCATTCAGTAACAAGACTCCCAACAAGGGAATCACTGTGGCACCGGGCCCAGATTTAAAATGCTTTACTTCTTTTTCGGTGCAGGTGATGTTCAGCAGAAAGCTGTGAGAGCGATGTGTGGATTCTCTTCTCATCTTACAGTTCTCAGAACTCCTACTCGGCAGCAGATGGCTATACATCCCAACGCAACTGACGTAATGATGTGAGACGCGCAACATGCAGCTGCTTAATAAATCACAGAGCCGTGCTTTCTGAGTTCAGCAAACAAGCAGAGACAAGAGAAGCTGACAGCTCGTGTTGGTGACGCCGAGCGTGGCTAATTCTACCTGCAGGACATCTCCCAGGTCTGCTGTGCTGATCTCAGGGTCCTCTGTGGTGTTGAAAGGGACGGGTGTTATCCTGACAAAGGTGAGGACACGGGGCTCAGGGTACCTCCACAGCATCACCCCCGGGATGTCTTCTGTCTCACTGCAAAACACCACCTCATGGGGTCCAGGCAGCCTCTGTGAACCTGAAAAACAAATCAACACTAAATATGGAAAACCTTTACTCCACAGGTAAACAAACAGGCAAAGAAAATGAGCCAAAAGATTGAAACAAAAATGAGGTAAAAAGCTCATCTTGTTTCTGTGAACTCAGCTCGATATTTGTGAAGGAACAAATAAACTTCCAACAACCCTAAAGCATTTATTATTATCTCTAATTTTTCCTTGGTAAAAGGGCAGCGTTTATTCAGATACTATGACTTGTACCAATCTAATACTCGTGCATGAACCTTTTTTTAGTTAAATTTGTAATACTTTTCAGATACTTAAAGTGCCTGTGCTTCCGTTTTTGTGATTAATACAATTGCATTGTTCGAAAGATAACATTACTAATGTATAGCAAAGACTATATATATATATATATATATATATATATATATATACGCTGCTGAGATAAACAGTTGAGATTTTCAAATGAACAGGAACTGACGCCAAAGAGGAACACCTGCATGTAAGCAGAGCATTGCTACAGTGGCTAAAGCTGGTCAAACTTGGCCTGGTWAAAACCAGACCCTCGTCCTTCACTTTGCTTCATACAAGGGTCTGGACTCGCTGCCATAGAGAAGCGATTCTTGCTGGAGGCGTGGCCTCTGCTGAAGCGTGTGTGTGTTTGTGTCGTTGTGAAGGAGGCTTAGCTAAGAAGCTAAACAAAAATCGCGAGCGCTGTAAACAACCCTACTGAGGACAAAAGTACCGAGCCGAAAGAGACGACTGTAAATGAGAGCTGCTGCTTTGTCAGACAAATTTAATTTAATTTGGAAGCCTTATCAACACAGACTGGCTTCATTCACTTCCTCCACTGCCGTATGCTAAAATAACTAGCAGACACTGCGCAGAACATCAACGTCGTTCAAAACTCCGCCTTCTGTTTGCTGATTGGCCCAGGTAAAATAAACTACAAGCAGACACTGCGCAGAAAATTGATGTTCTGTTTTCTGATTAGTTCGGCTAAAAATTTACCAGATAAATCCTTGTCTATGGGAGAAACGCCAGACGGAGCAGAGAAGCGAAACTAGAATTGAGCGGAGCTGCGTAGGAATGCAAGGGCCAGGCTAGGTCAAACCCAACGCTGACCTTCAAGTTTGATTGAAATGTGAACCGTTATTCATTTACAGCATTTTAATACTGTGCATGAACATTTCAAGAAACTAATTTGTCTTGTTAGCATAGAAAAGTACATTAAAAAGAAGAGTGGGTCGAGACATGTAAAAAAACTGGACATCCACATTCTGCATTTCCTTGATGTTTACGTGTGTCAGAAACTGGGTAAACAAAATATCTGAATAAACATTTTTTTGTGTTTTTATCTAAACATCCACTGATTAAACTATGCCAAGCACCTGCAACAGCTGGATAACACAGGATCCAAACTCCAGAGGGATGTTTGACTTACATCCTAGCTGCTGTTTAGGATTCATGTTTATTTAGAAAAAAGAAAAAAGAAAGTCAAAAGGGGAACCTCGGCTTTGTCTACCCCMACCCCCCACAGAGTGCAAACACAGTCTGTCACCAGAACAGACAAGAAGCAAACAAACAACAATAACAGGCACTTTTTATTAAACTTCCTCTCCAGCCGTCTTTCCTTTAGCCTTTCATCAATATATCCCATCCATCTTTGGGAGGTCACTGGCTGGTTCCTGCACTCAGGGTCCCAGATCCCTCTCCCAACATGTTGCAGACAGACTGTCCTCTTGGTTCCAGTTCACCACTGTACGTTCTTCAGCTTCAGCCAGAACATTAAATGCATCAAAGACCAGTGGAAGAGCGCAACAAACAAAGACTCAACCACAGCTGACAGAATGGACGGCTGGTCTTCAGCCAGAAAGAAGTTTGATCCTCTGTGTATGTTGCTCAGTGTCTGACTGTGTGCACACAAAGCACAAAGACAGCGAATAAACACCGAGTTACTCAGAGTGGAAACAGCCAGTCATGCCCGATGAAACTTCTTTTCACGAAGGCCTTTGATCTAACTTTGTTTTAAGCCTGTGTGTATCTTAAGTGACATTTAATGTTGCTCAAAGCCTCTTCTGTGCAGTCAATGATATTTAACGATTATTAGGCAACTACAGCTAATGTTCTGATGTACCTCTAATTAACATGGGAACCCATATCCATAAATATTTTACCTCAGAGCAGAAATGCACATTCATCAAGGTGCTTTTCTGAGAAAAAATAAATGAAATCTACAGAGCAACACATGAATAATATGTGTATTCACCTGCATCCTGAATGTACTGAAAGCTTCCTGTGCGCAGGTCATCAGAGGTGTGCTCCGTCCGAACAGAGGGAGCGACGGGAGAGGGTGGAGGCTGGGTGTGGCAGGCCTTTCCCTTAGAACTGCCTTCTGCTGAATCCTCTTTCTGGAGATGAAAATAGGCCCGAAGGTACTCTTCCATCAAGGTCAGGCAGTTCAAATGTTCCTGGCCCCAAAAAAACTGTTGTACAGAAAAAAACAGGGGAAAAAATAATAATAACTTGCATTTCCTGCAAAAAAAACTGTGTAAATGCTTACTGCTGAAAGAGCAGAAACAAGCCTAAAAATAGCTCAAAAGTAGCTGGAACAGCTGAAAAAAAATCAATTATCATAAAAAACAAAGCGCATGTTTGCTGAAATAAGCAGTAAGAAGCTGAAATATTCACAAAAAGGTGAGTTTAGCTGAAAAAAGCTTAAATTAGCTAAAAAGCAGCTAAAAGAAGAATACAAAGCTTAAAATGGAATAAAATAGATGAGATGTACAAAAAAGGTAATATTAGCAAAAGACAAGCAGAAAAAGTCAAAATAAGGCAGAAAAAAGCTAAAATCAGAAAAATAGAAGCTGAAGAAAGCTGACATTAACACAAAAAACAGAAAGAAAGTTTGTTGAATTATGCAATAAGAAACCGAAATTAGCTCAAAGTAGCTAAAACTACAGAAAACTGCCGAAATTAGCAGAAAGAAGCTAAAAGATACATTAAAAGCTTAAAATAGAAGAAAGGAGATGAGAAGCAGAAAAAGTTGAAATTAGCAAGAGAAAAAAATTAAAAAAAGATAGCTAAAACATAAAAAGCTATAATCAACTAAATAGATGCTAAAGACAGCTGAAATTAACACACACAAATAAAACAGAAATCACGTTTGCTGAAATTAGCAGTAAGCAGCTGAAATTAGTTAATAGTTTAAACCACAGAAAACAGCTGAAATTATCAGAAAGGAGATGAAAGAAGAACAAAAAGTTTTAATTAGCAAAAGAAAAGCAGAAAATGTCAAAATATTAGCTAAAGCAGAAAAAAAGCTAAAATCAGCTAAACAGAATCTGAAGGAAAATTAAGTTAACACAAAGAACTAAAAAAGCAGAACCAGAACAGAAGGTAAAAAGTGCAGTAAAGATTTATGACTATTTTGAAGGGTTGCTGTTGAAAACAGTTCATTTTTAATGAGGAAAAAATGGACGGAAAATCTAAATATCTAAATAAATAAATAAATAAATAAATAAAAAAACTCAAGTTATAGCCGGAATGTCCTGAAGAAGTTACATGTTTTGATATATTATTGTTGAAGCAGCACAAAAATTGTGGAACAAAATACATGCTGAAAAACAACAAAAAATCTCAATAATGTGAATAAGAATTCAGACAAGTGAGAGCAGAACTGATGTTAAAAGAATGACAACAGTTTATGTAAAACATACAGAAAAACAGAGGATTCAGTATAAAGAGGAGGAAGCTACGCAACATCCCAAGGTCTACTTTTGTTTTCATAAACACTGCAACTTCTACTCTAAGTGAAGCAGTCAGGGCTATCCTCGTCATCACCCACTCACAGTTTTACAAATATTACACAACACAGCCTGATGTTCTCATTGAGCCATGGCATTCCCCCTCCTGTGCTCCATCAAAGTCAGGTTTGCCTGGGGTTTGGACAGAGGACTAGGAACCTCTGAGTCAAAAACTCTGCACACATAGAGCTGCCCGCCTGCTTGCCTGTCACTACTCTAAGGCTGAGTATGACTAAAGTCCAAAAGAGGAAAATTTAGGGATTTTTTTTCTATCCAGTTTTGGAAAGACACACTGAAAGAAATCGGAAGAAATTCTGGTGGTTTTGCTAAAGCAATTGATTAAAACGCCAAGGACGCCAATATTTGCAGAAAGAATTGCATGATTACATATTAAATGTTGAGTTGCAAGTGATTTTTCTGTTAATGCACACGCAATAAAAGCATTAAGGAAACCACTGAACACAAGCGAGGGGGTTCCCCCAAGAAAAAAAAAACATGGAATGTTGCATTACACACTTTTCTGTTAGTCACATTAAAAAGGGACTTTTTAGGTTCAACATTATGTAACTTCGCTCTGGGAAAAAAATCATACAGATGTTTGTCTTCCACTATAAATAGATACATACTATTCCACCATTTAACCAGAAGATATGACTCGAAACTAATGTAAAATTATAAGTTGCAGCTGTTACTGTCGTTACTTTAAAGAGAATATAAGCCAATGAAATTATAGAGGGACAGCAGATCTAAGAGGAATACTGAGTGTGGTGAGATGTGCTTGTGGATGACAGCCTTTCAACAAGGAAGTGACTGTTTTATTTTGGAAACCAAGGATATTTACAGTGCCTTACAAAGACATCCATCCCTGGTGGTATTTTCTTGTGACCTTACAACCACTGTCAGGGTGTTCTCAGCAGGATGAGAGCTGGTGCTTCAGATATGGTGTCCTTAATGGACTAAAACTTTGAGTTTGRTCTCATCTGAACAACACCTTCCACAAGTTTAGAAAATAAAATATTTTTTTAAAGTGATGGATTTTACTGCCACTTTTCCATGAAGCCCATCTCTGTGCAGCTTCTACCTGTCCTACAGACAGATCCTCTCTCTACAGCAAAGCTGCAGCTCCTTCAGGACTATCTCAGGCCTCCTGGATGTTTCTCTGATCAATGCCCAACTTACTCAGTTTGAGTTTTGGTAGACCTTCTRTTGGCAGGTTTACTGTGAAGGTAACATCAAGACCACTGAGGATGAACAATAACACGCCTCAAGCACATCTGTATGTCGGTGGGGTTTGGCTTAGATTGAGTAGGTATGGTGACGAGCAAGACGAACAAAAACAAAGTGGATTATTTATTTTCTCACCTGTTTTTGTTTATGTCTTTGGAGGAAAAAGTGGAAGTGAAGAGGTTGTGGCCTGATAGACCAAAGGATATTCAAATCCAACAAAATAAAAAGGGCAAAATCAAAGTTTTAAGTGACCTGGTGTAAGAAATTGTTCAAATTGGAAGCCCAAATAATAAACAGAAACCCAATTAAGRTCTCAGTTAAATGTTTATTTTTCAGATATAAAGACTCCATCTTTTCCCAGCCTGTGTGGCTTCATAGTCTAAACAAAACGACCCTGAATCACATAATACCTAAYGATTCCCTGGTCACACCACCTGGGGGTGGCTCCTTACGTCAGCATTTGTATGCCAATGTAAATAATTAATCTGACACTGCTGGAGCAAGGCACATATTAAGTAGAGTCTTGTTGATTCTCTTCTGGTCAAAGCAAATAACTAGTACTGATCAAAAAGTATAAAATATTAAGATTGTATCTAAAATTCAGTTAATAAGACACAAAATATCATTCGCTGGTTTCAGTGAAAGGACGGGCTAACATAACAGCAAGTTTAGCTAACAAATCTCTTCGCTACTTTGTGTTTGAAATCCAATTTGCAGCATTTATATTATATTATATATCTATTAGCTAATAACTAATATTATAAAAAATATTAGCCCACCATACAAATACCACCWCTGCTTAAGACCCATCTTTGCTTCTTAGCTTTTGATTCTGGCAGAGTTTAAGATTCTTTTAGACCTAAGGGTTTTATGATGTATTTCTGTATTTTACATGAATTTTAATTATTTTTGGACATTTCTGTGTTTCTTTGTTAATGTTTTTTTTCTGTTCATTTGGCTGAATTGTGAARCACTTTGGTCAACTTCTGTTTTTATGTGCTATGTACATAAATTGAGATCTATATAACAGGTGTGTCATTTGACTCAGATTTTACTTACAAATTGATCTTATTTAACTCATTTTGTGGCTTCTGCAGATGATAGTTAGAGCTTTAAAGCAAGAGGATTGAATACATATGCACACAACTTTTAGCTTTTAGATATTAAGGGTTTTTTTTTGCTTTTAAATTTGTGTTTTTGGGGAAGTGTTGTTTTTAATCAAATGAAGAGTCCCATTAAATTCCAGGTTGTAAAACACAATAAAAGAGGAATGTATTAAAATGTAACTGTAATGTTTTAGTAGTAGCAGTGGTATCACTGAGTGATAGMCTGTTCTCCATCTAGAAGAACCGTACAGAAGCTTTAAGAGACTTTGAACAGGACTTTGAGTCACTGAGTGCAGAGGTGCTGACCTAACCTTAACCACCACCAACTGCAGTCAAGCTGAGAATTACATCTTGTGATTAGTGAGCTGAACCCGTGTCAAAGGTACACAAACCTGCAGCAGACCTCCCTTTAGGTCAAACAGAAGTTTAGGGGGTCCAGATTCAGGTCCAGGACTGCCGCTGTGTCGGCACCAGCGAGCCTCCAGAGAGCTGCAGCAGGAGAACGGCCCCAGCAGCACATGGCTCCGCTCCCTCAGTCCTGTTTTCACCAGCGCATCGTTTATCTTCAGCAGGACTGAGGCAACCTGAACTGGATCTAGGAACACAAAGAAAGCAGCGACTTCAGTAATAAAGAGATAAATGTTTTAAAAAATAAAATCAGGGAAAACTAAACAAAGCAATAAAAAATGAAGAGGAAAAATTATTATTTCACAGCTTCCTAAAACAATCGTAACATTTTTCTAGTTTTTCAAGTTTGTCAGGAATCTCAAAAAACGTACAAAAGGTACACTTTCTGGAAACACAAAACACTTGGGGAAAAATGACAGATGGAAGGTGTTAAACTGAAATCTTTAAAACAGCTTCACTTCATTACAAAATGTGTACCCTTCTCATTCAGTACATTTCTCTCAGTGCCCTAATTTCATGCTGAAAATTTTCACTTTGTGCCCTTTTTTTTGTTTGTATGTACAAAGCTGATAAAAATTATTCACACATTTGGATGTTTGATGCCTTTATTGCTGTCATAAATCAAACATGATTAATAAAAATTCTCCAAAAATAAATCATAGAAGCCTTCTTCATGAAAAAGTGAGTTCAAATTTCGAAAAAAGTGATTCCAATTAAATAAAATCATGTGCTACTAAACAAAAAGCTGAAACTAAGTGACTGCATAAATATTTATATTGTTTAAAATGGCCGTGCCAATTCAGTTCAGAAAAGATTATTAAAAAATAAAAACCAGGGGATGGATACAAAAAGAATTTCAAAAGTCCTACGTGCATGTAAGTAAGCAATTTGGGACATGAGCAGGTCCTCCTCACAAACTCATGTTCAAGATTGACCATGAATAATTTATAACTGCAATAAAAGCCAAAAAATCCAAGGGGGTGAATACCGTACTTATTTTAGGCGCTGTAACTAAAAAATATTCTGTTTAAACGTGTGTCGGGGTCCAGAACTAACTGCATCTCAGGGCTTTGGGTTCACTTGGTGTAAAACACAGAACATATGAGGTTAGAGAAAGATGAAGAGGAACATGGAGAAACTGAGGAAGGAGGTGATAAATGAGAAGATGAACAGATATAGACAAAGATGGTGGGAAAAAAGAAAGAGCCAAGAGGAGAAAGTGATCTATGACATGATGAAATGACACACACACACACACACACAAGTGCTCAGATCTTTCCAGGCTTGGTAAACTGACTCAGAAACATCTTATTCAACATCAGAGCACCTTAACTCAACAAGGACGAGCCAATGAAAGAGGGTTCGCTTGTATGAGACAATTTGTGGGGAACAGTTCCACTGAGATGACTCATATCTCTCAAGGAATACTGTTGATAAAAGTTGGCAGTTTACCTGCTAATAACTTCTGGTGTTGCAGCACAGACAGAAAGGTTTGGACTCTGGACTTATTTTTAAGGCCAGGATTTATTAGACAGACCCAAAACCTCCATTCCTTTACATCTTTTCCAAATATATATAGCAGCATGTTTAGATTGAGTGAAGGCACACACTGACACACAAATACATAGAGAAAAGTAGAGCCACATGGCTCCAAACAGAAAATACAGATGTAAAAACAAACAACCTTCACACCCAGGTGAACACGTGGAAACGCACACTCTCACATGAACATTCCCCTTCAAACACGCAATGAGTATCAAAACATTTTGTCCTGTCTCACCATGCGTCATTTACAGCTCAGCTGACCGCAGCATCCGCTGCTACAGCCAGCAACAGCAGCCAGCACGCTCCATAATCAACCAAATTGGGAGTGGTTTAAATGAGGGGGAATCCCTTTTTTCCTGACTTTATTCTTCCTTCCAGAATAAATAACAGTTGGAGGCACATTTCTCCATCCTTTGTCCACTTCTGTTTCTACCATGTATGTCTCTGTAGGGTTGAGCTCTCAGATCTGTCAACAGACGCTCCAAATACATGACCCTGCTAAACTGTTGAGGAGCAGAGGGAACGTAAATAAATACCACCAATAAATAAAATAAGGAGATGAAAAACTATCAAATAATGTGGCAGATGGCACTTTGTTTTTCCAGTTTGATGAAATTTAAACAACTACAGACAAAACTACTGATCGTGTGTAGTGCAGGGTGTGTATTAGTGAGGAACACACATCTGCATATAATCTCCATTTCCAGAAAATATGTCAGTGTTCTAAAATGTTACAAARTTACATTTTCCCAATTTGTCTTTCAAGCTAAATGTGGTTTTCAGGCTGCTCTTTGTACAGACTGTCATGTCACGTGATTTTGACAGCCACTTGATTTCTGGCATAACTGAAAAACAAAAAACAAACAAAAAAAAAAAAACCTCACCATCACTCAACAGTTTACTTCTGAAGTCAGAACTGTAACCTGGAACTATATCACACAAAACCCTCAGAGCACAAGCTCATCTCTGATGAACACAGCTCCATCTCCTACAGCTTATCCATAGCCAGGAGACAACAGGTCCAGGAGACAAACCCAGACCTCTCTCTCCAGCTCCACCCAAGTAAAGTAGTTCCCAGGCCGGAGAAAATACACAAACACTCCAGCGAGTCCAGGGTTTGACCCAGGGTCCTTTCCCAGTGGGACATGCCTGAAAAACATCTAAAGGGAGACATCCTAATCAGGTGAACCACTTCAACTGAGTCCTTTCGATGTGGAGGAGCAACGGCTTTAGCTTAAAACTCTGGCATGAAAGATGCAGATATGCATTCCTTGAAGGAACACTTGGCTTTTCTTTTAATCTAAATGACATCTTAGCTGAGGCGCTGCAGTTTTTCTGGTAATTCAAAGAAACCAGAGGCAGTTCAGCAAAATAAAAAGGAGTGWTTACACACAACATGCAAGCATTTATCATGCATGCATGTTGTGTGTAACATGCATGCATCATGAAATGGGATGAGTGACAATGTTATTGGTTAAAGTGTTGCATTTATAACCATTCTTGTAAAACAGAAACAATCTCTTTCCTGTTATATACTGTATACACAACAGAACAGTCGTTGAGGACTGAAAAAAATATTTTGTACTTATTCAATAATTATAGACATAACAGCTTTTTTCTGTACTTTTCAAAACAAAGCAACAAAATAAAAACAAACACCTGGATACCCAACGCTGGAGACTTCTGATAACCTAGTGTGCACATGTGCATCCACTGCAAGCTCTCATACAACATAAAACACTTGAGAAACACAGTGGGTGGTGGGAAAAGGGTGGATAGAAATCTTCCTCAAGTGAAATATATCTATGGCAAACACCCGGGTAAGATTAGATAGGATAGGAGACTGATTTACCACGTCGGTTTCTCCCTGGCAGCCGTTATCTGACCACTGCCTGGCTGATTTATACCCTGCAACGTACTGGTATCAATTAGTAGAAACCTTAAGGAGTCATTACATAACTATCTGAGGSCCCTGAAGACCTTCTGGGATGGTAAGAGTAATAGGAGTAATATACTGTCATTCACCACAGAAATACGCTATTCACTCACCACAAGACCACTATAGGACACTAGAGGAAACTGGTTTTGTAGCAGGGGACGCTGTCGGCCAAAATGGTGAAGTGCAGGAAGCTGTGTGTCATCCAAGCAATTACAAAGGCAGACCTGATGATTGGTGATGAATGACATATGGGCTGAATGTCAGCAGCAATGCTGAAGCACAATCCTGTATGTGTCACAGAGATGTGTTATATTCTAAATATGGACTTTAAATGTGATTAGYTCAGGGGAGAAAGCTTTGAAACAATAAAATGATCTGTCAAAGTCTTCTAGTCACGACTAGTTTACAGACAGACCATTAAAAWCAAGAATCAATGACGGAACTGAACGGCACAAACAAGAACCAAACAGACAAAAAATATACCCTAAACTCCAGTCTGTAGATTTATCTTTCTTTATGTTAATAACAATATACAWATCGCATTCTTTGACTCAATATAATAATTCTGACAAATCATCGTGACCATTTTAGATCAGCTTTGTGCAAAGTTTAGTAATTCCCAATTTATATTATTATGAAATATACTTGATGAAAGAGTAACTGTATAAAACTTTTTATGCATTGAGTTTTCCTGATTGATCAGCTTGTTTCTGAATGAGTATTTTCCAAGCTTAAATTGTTTGACCTGTAGTGTGATGCAGGGAAATAAGTTTATATGATAACATAAAAATACATTAGACAAGTTATTATACAGCGGTTAAAACAGGTTGAGTTTAAATTCAGCACATTTTAGACAAAAGGAGAGGATAACTGTTAGTGTTTTAACATTGTGATGCCGGTTACTCAGTACACTGATCTACAGCTCTATAAACATGTCTCTGGGTGTATTTAACTTTGCTGCACAATTTAATAACTGAATTGCTGTTCCACCCCCAACTTTGACTTATTTCATATTACTAATGATGCATTGATAATTTATTAGTTGGGTTAGCTTGCCATAGCTCTGCAGGATGTATTTTCATAAATTCATCTTGTTCTGGCTTTGCTCRGCTTTGTATTTCATAGAATAAAATGGGCAAAAATAGCTTTAATTCAGCAGAGTAAACAAACTGATAGGATTATAATTCACAGATTGGCTTGAAAAGTGGAAAAACGCTAGAATTCCAAAGGTATAAATAACGGGTAGCTTTGGTTTTTTTTCCCTCCCCAAAAATAAGTTTTCCTTGTGCAAAACTGCTAGAGTAAATCACCGTGAAGAAGTAGGGGGTCCACAGAAGCAAACGACCACGGAGAAAGGTTTGCACATGTGTGTGTTTTCAAATAATGTACAATAGTAACAGGCTCTGCTGGTCTGTGTGTGTTTCTGRAGTCAGGGGCACTGTATGGGCAGTGAGAGAGAGAGCCGGGGATTAGGGTTAGGGAGGGTCCTGTTTCATGGACCCTCGGACATCTGTTCTCTCTCTTTTGCCCACTCCCCTCCTCTCTTTCACTGAACTACAAATGCCCCCCTACCTTAGGGAGTGGTGAGCCATGGATGGAGGGAGGAATGTAGGGCTTCCACTTGCTTTTCATTAACACAGGATCTGGTAACACACCTCACTGTCAACCTAATCCCCCCTCTCTCCATCTTGTCCCCTGGCTGA